AGTCGTCAACCAAATCTATTCTAATAATTAATCTTTCGCTAATAACTCAGCCGTAAACAAGCTGAGTTTACTGTTAATCCATCCAACTACTGCTGATTAATATAAACCTGGCCGTCACAACATCCCATTAGCCGGCAGCAATTTTAACAACTCAGCTGTTCGATGTTTATTAACTTAGTTGTGTCGTTACTACAACTTAGCCAAATTTTCCAGAAATAAAACCGCTGATGTATAAGTCAGCCATAACTTGTGTACGTAATTCAGCCGTTTTTCCATAAATCAGCCAGGTTTCTCTAAATCAGCCATACCGGGCGGCTGACGTATGGCCTTAAGTCAGCCTTTTTCTATTAAGTCAATCGCTTTAATTAATTCAGCTGAAACATAGCATTAAAGCAGCCGTAACGACGTATGTATCACTTTACGGCTGACTTAATGAAAACATGGAACCGAATTCCTATGTGGCGCCAGGTTTTTACTTACGTGGCAGCGAAAAGTAATGGCATTTTTGTAAATAAGTTTTTTCTTATATCATTAAGAAAGGGCACGCTTGGTATTTTAAAAATGCCAGTAATAAAACAAAAGATTTGTATGGTTGTAGTCAATTGACCTAAGATTTGTTATATTTGAGTAAACTTCCCTTACAATTATGCCCCTGGCGAGTTTTTACCTAAGTATTTGTGGGAACCGAAATTCACACCGTCGATTTCCGTGAATAAAGGAACTTAGGGAAAACCCTAATTTTGCAGAGGCCCCGGCTATCTGCTTAACCACACGCAAGCAATCAAAATACGATAAACATGATAAAATAAAACGAGAATCGAAAAGAGAGAAAAGAGGTTTCTTATTCCGATTTTGCGTAAGAACAGTACAACGATGCAAGCCTTGGCTACAAGAGCTCACGGCGAGTTTCCTAGTTCTAGCGCCCTAAGACTAAAACCCTAATTGAGACGCAGCTCGATAACAAAAACGGAAAGTTGCCTAAATGCTAAGTTTTTCTGTGTGATGAGTGCTCTGAAAAATTCCACTTCTCTTGTTCTCGACCTTATGCTTATATACTCCTTCTCTAGGCGGTTAGTCTTTCCTTTACCGCTCCGGTTCGCGCTTATCGAAAATCTTCCATTTTTCTTCGGAAAACTTCTATTTTATCTTCAAACTCGACATTTTCCCACTTATGCGAATCATGAGTAAACCAATATCATATCTTGGGGCTGGACCTTGTCTAATGTCATGAATGGACTTTTATCGAGTTTTAGGTCTTTCCGAGCCGTTCTGCGATTTAGCCGTTTTACGACTTTAGATGAGATCGTTTCCAGATACAATGCCGGTTTTATAAAACATCTCGAGTTAATCGTAATGTTTGACAATCTTTGGTGTTTTGTTTAACTGTTGCTGTTTTGTACGATTTATTCGAGCTTTTCCGTGAAAACAAGTCTTTAGCAGTTTTTATAAAATATCTGAGTTAATCGTATAGTTTGGCCCTGTTTGGTGTTTCGTTTAACCGTTGCCGTTTTCTACGATTTACTCGAGGTTTTACGAGAAAACCGGTTTCTTACGGATGATTCAGCTCGTCAATAGGTGAGCTGGTCAAGCACGACCAGCTCGCCTGTTGGCGAGTAGTCGGTCGTTCGGTTTCGATCGTTTCTCGACCCGAGATCCTCTCAGAGAATTTAAGGAGAAATAATCGTAGTCGTTGATATCGAGGTTATCGTTTTCGACCTTAATAACGTCTTTACCATTTCGGGGTGTTTAGACGTTACGACTGTGTTTTGCCAATTTGGACAATCGCGGATTGTTTTATTCGGTTTTCCGATGATTTCCAAGATGACAATTGTTAAGTTTACGGAATTCCTTTGTTCGGGAAGTCTTTAGATTTTTCTCGAAGCTTTTTCGTATTTCTTAAAACCTATTCTTAACTTGGCAGAAAGTTTTGGTTGTTGATTCTGTCGTAACCGATTGTGACTCCAACAGTTAAGAATCCTAGAGTTTATGCGAGCGGTTTGAACTTGTTTGGCAAGTTTGGTAGAATTAGGCACAACTTTAACGACCGAAAGTCCGAAGGTAAATAGTAGAAACTTGCTTATAAATATGTGAACTAAGTTTTCAAATTCTTTGCTCACTACTTTACTTTCCACATAAATTTTTCCTAAGGCAAAGAAAATCTCTCTCCCTTTCTTTCTCTCCTTGAGTCTTTCCATACTTATTTTCTTAGCATGTCTACTGAAGGGAGAATTTCAGAATGTGCCCATCCGTCCATTTTTTATCCAAGCAATCTTGAGTGTACCGGTGGTAATGTACTTCCTGCACCAATATTTTAAGATTTACCGCAGATAAAAAGGAGGTCAAGAGGTATTTGGAAGCTGTGTGTGTTGCCGAGGCTCCCAAAGCTAACTTCTGGTTTCCTTCGAGGCTTAGATCAATGAAAAGACAAAATGGCCCGAGCCAGAGTACCGCTTGTTCCCTCGATGTTATGCGGAGATCTCGTATGATCTTGAATTCGGTGCAGTTTCGCCTTCCCGAATATGGTCAAGATGCCAAGCATCCGCCTCCGGGCTACTTTACGTGCTACGAGGCTTTTCTGCTCAGTTGCCAACTGTGGTTTCCCATTCCGTGGGTGATAGTTGAATTCTTGGATCGGTTTGGACTGTCGATCAGCCAACTTTGCACCTCCGAATTACGGCATCTTTTCGGGACTTTGGTGCTGGGTTACGTACGTGGTATGGCCGTTAGTGCAGATTATCTTGAAGCTATGCTCTCGTTCAAGCGCGTGAGAAATGGTTATTATTATATATCTCCGCGGGCGAAGATGTCGATCATCGAGAAGTTTTCCTCGAATGATCACAATTGGGAGGAGTGTTTCTTCTATGTTCGAATTGATAATGCCTCGGTGGAGGAGAGCTGCATCCCCATATTTAGGAGTGAATGGGGGGGGGAGAAAGAGGTATTTAAATTGTACGTTTTTTTAGTACATTTTAAATTCTAACTTCGTGTTTGGTTTGTGTTTTGCAGCGTCCGGTCTTGCTACTTTGAAACCCTAAGATCTTGAACAAGTCAAGATTCTTCTCCCTGGTGGTCTGTTTTATTGGCACTACAGGAAATATGGGTATTAATAGCATTAGATTATAGCGTTTTTGGCAGTTCTGCTATTGTATACCAATACTGGTTTTTTTAATAGCGTTTATAAATTTAAAACGCTATGTTTGGTATCGCGGGAAAATAAAAAAATTTTAGCCGCGTTAATTTACTAACTGTAGACGCCTTACCATTACAGATCCAAAATTAAACGCTATAGTAAATGTTAAATATCTCAAATTTAATCAAAAATACTTTTAAGTTAACCTTTAACGGGCTTGATACACACAAAAAAAAAATTCAATTCTCTCCCCTGTCACATTACAAGAAACAGAACAACCAGCATCCGACGTCGCCGTCTCCTCCATGACCAGCAGCTTCTTCTCCTCTCTCTTGTCTCATTGTCACCGTCTCTTCTCTTCTGACTTTCAGTCCATTCTCGAAGCTCTCTGCCGGTGACTGTTCGGGTTTCTTCGGCGTGTGTGACTTTCAATCCTTACTCGTTCCCGTCATCGTCTCAGCAGACGAGGATGAGGGTTCATGAGAATATCAAGAGATTTTGCTACGCTCTTTGTAGTCTTCTTCGCTTGTGCATAGTATGGGTTCCTTATCTCATTTGTTTAGCTGTGAATCTTTGGAAAGTTAAGGACTTTATGGGAACTAGGTGGAGGTTGAAAGTGTTGGTGTTTCTTTGTCTCTTTTGACTGGTTTTGTAGGTATCAGATTCCAATTGCATTGGTGGGGATGTTAGCAAGTTTAGCACTTTGGGAGCTTTTCAAGTACTGTAGTGACGGATGAAAGTTTGATCCTCACCCTTCTGCTCGGAAACTCGTGATTGGTATTGGTCAGTGTGGTGAGTTTTAAGGATCCATTTGTTTTGCATCTTGAAGAAACTGAATGAGATCTTGTATGGTAATATCAAGAACATTTTGGAATCCTTAAGAAACTGGATTTTTTTAGATAAGAGAGTATGTATGTAATAGAATGGAGCTAATCTCGTTTCTTTGCTTCTTCTACTTGCAGGGACTTCCGTTCTTCTAACGTATCTGAATGTCCAAATGGCTCCTTTCTCTGCTCTTGCCTTCATCTGTTGATACTTCTCAGCCAGTAGAATCATCTGCGCCTCCTGCAAAAGAGAGTTCTTTGGTATTAAGCAAGAGGCAACTGTTTCTCTGTCTTCTTTACCAAAAGCTTCTCAGGGAGCTGTGGCTAGTTATTTCTATATGGAAACAGCGATGCTGAGCCTATAGCTGAAGCTTTTGCACAGCTGACTCAAGATTTCTTTAAGGGGGGATACTCTCTGCCGCTTGATCACTTCACTTAAGTATTTGAACTTGGAGGTAACACATGTCATCTCTCAATGAGAGAGAGAGACATATGAGATCAAGTTTTCTTTTTTCGTTGTTATTAGGCAAGGAAAAATGTTACACAAGTCGTTGCAAATCTTCAGAGGCAACAAGTCTTACTGTTGATGTTGCTGCCACTTTTAAGGTTCTTGTACTAGACTGGATTTTGATTTCTACAAGGGAGCTCTTTATACAACTGGATTTTGATTTCTTGAATTTCATTAGCTGCATTCAACAGATGAGAGAGGTTGAGCAAATCATGGAGATTCAAATTCAGATATATCAGCTGAGTGATCTAGAGGAAGCTGCTGTATGACTAGTAGAGAAATTTAAGCTTTTCATAAGGTTCACAGTGGAGTTGATGAGTTTATAGCCAGTATAGAGAGTGTGTTCTAGCATTGAGTTTCATATTTTGATTTCAATACAATGTATATCTGAAAAACTTTGTAATTTCTGATATACATTGTATTGAACTCAAAATATGAAACTCAATGCTAGAACACACAAAACCGCGGAGCCAAACTGAAGCTCAGTTGGAAACTCAGCTCATGAAACTATGACAAAAGCAATATGTGATGCTAAAGAATGGAAAGCAGCCCAACTGAAGCTTGTACTTGTGATGACTACAAAACCGCGGAGCCGGATCGAAGGTTCTTATGATACAGTTTGCAGGTCGGACGTGGCTTGGAGAAAAGAGCTCAATGCAGCTGGACTGGCTTGGAGCTTCTCCAATAATCGTAATGAGAGAATTACCTCTCACAGTGAATATATGGCGTTTGTGATCTCGTCCCTTGTGGCGGAGGGACTAGCTATACGCTGAGCTATGGAACATGCTATCACTTTGCAATTTGATCGAGTATTGTTTGAATCTGACTTCAACTCATATCTGAAATCAACGGTGGACCTAGCTTCTCCGATCTCCATGGGATCGTGTCGGATATGAAAATCCTGTCTTTGTCTTTTGCTTTTGTTGCGTTTAAGTTCTGCAATCGTAATGCCCTCTATTTTGAGGATGGTTTAGCTTTGTACCAAATTTGGTTTAATTTCAATGAAGTGTTTGTGCACAAAAAAATACAATGTATATCTTGGTTATAAATTAATTTGCAGATTAAATATTTCATCATAAAATCAAAAGATAACACAACAACTAATATGATAAAAAAAAGAAAAATCTAATTCTAATAACAAATTCGAAAAAAACAAAAATAATATTTTTACCTCAAGATCTAAACCCTAAACATGCCCTAAACCCCAACCCTAATATTTTTAAGCTCAGGATATATAATTGTCAACCTTATATCATACTTCAAACTTTATATTGTAAACTCAAAAAAATAAATAAATACAATTCACTCTTAAAATCCAAACTTCAAACACCAAACATTACCCTAAACCCTAAACTTTAAACTTAAACAATACATCTCGAAATCCATTCATACAATTTGTTAAAATCTAATTTAGTTTGAATTATAAACTGTATCACAATTTATTTAAAAGAAAAAGTGTATTTCTTTTACACTGAATGATTTTTTCCTATACATTATATATGAAAGATCGTAATAGAAGCCAATCGACATGGAAGTTAAAAGAAAACATGTATCATAACTCTAGCACAATTTTAAAGGTCCAATATTTAGAAACCTATAATAGAAACTTTAAATTTTAATTCCAAGTAAATTATAAAACTCAAATCATATAATCCTAAATCTTAACCTTAACTTCTAACCCCTAAACCACATATCTCATTTTAACATATATCATAAAACATTCAATCTTAACTTTTAAATGAATTCTATTTCTGTAAATAAATTAAAATTTCAAATACAAAATTTAGATTTCAAAATTTAAATTATGATACCAAATTAATTAAAGCTTAAATAATTTTTATAATAGTTATAAATAAATAAGAAGGCAATTTGTATTTTCTTTTGTTTTGAACCCTTGGTTGATTTGAACCAAACGCCCAAAATTACTCTTATATCTATCCTCACCCTTTTTTCTATTGGTTAAAAAAAGTTGTGTGTAGATTGACAATTAACCATAGATTAGATATTTTGATGGGTTTAGATTAAACTAGTGGTTTGTCCGCGCTACGCGCGGATTATTAGTAATTTGTGTTAGTTGTTATGAATATTATTTTATTAGACATATTGTAAATTTACTGGTGGAGTTGCTATTTGTGGGAATTTTCTTGTAATTTTAATGGCTTACAGAGGCGTATATTGTGGGTGAAAAATGAGGAGAAAAAGTATTGTTAATATGGAGTAACACCTCAGTGTAAAAATCTGAAACACATGTTATTTAAAAGTTAAACAAATGAACAAAAGTTGTATAAAATTCTTCATCACCGTTGTTATTTGTTCAATACCCTGTTACTTGAATGGCCTCCCGAACAGATGCATTGTAAAACATTGATCAGACAAAGCTTAGCATCTATGCTTGTCTATCACATGTTCTTAAATTGGTATTTTGGAAAGTATATGAATGGATGAATGAATGAGACTGTATGGCCAAGTATGTGCTTCAGATTATCGTAAGGCTAATCACAGCGTATTTTCATATAAGAATAGCTCGAACATACATAGCGAAAGATGATCTGGATGATAGAACGCCAAATATTATTGGCTTGCCAGCAAAAGTAGTTTATTCGGTAAATTAATAATTCTTAAAAACTAATAAATTTTATCGATTTTAATCTAGGTCAATTCAAAATTTGACACAAATTATAAAATAATAAGATAAATATTTAGAAAATTATACGTAAATATATTGTCCATTTAATTATAAATTAATAATTTATATGTATATATATTTATTTTATATAAGTAAGAACCTATTTTTATATTGTTTGCTTTGTATTCATAATGGATTATCTTTATATTTTCTTAACATTTAATATATTTTTGATAAGATTTAATAATATTATATTTAAAACTACATTTAATATCTATAACTTCTATGCAATATATATATATATATACACCAAATAATATAACAAAATTAATATAAATATAACTTTAAAAAATAATTATTAATATCTATATACTAAAATAAAATAGATTTTAACTTTAGAATAAATATATTTTAAATAAAAAATTTAAATAACTTTTTTGTAAATTAATAAAATTTCATAGTCCCAAGGTTTTACTGTAGTTGGCATGTTTAAATAGTCCCAAGGTTTTACTGTAGTTGGCATGTTTAAAAAGCTCTTTATCATTCATTCTTATTGAACAGTTGGTAACAGCCATAAACTGAGTGATAAATATGCTTTTCTATTTTTATATAAAATGGCCACCAGAACGTTAAGTGACTTTTTTACTAAACAGAGGTGCTAAGCATTATTTAAAGGGAAGTTAACTCAACTAGTATGAATTTTATTAATTATTATCACAACCATACAAAACTTTTTTTTATTACTACCTTTTTTTTAATACCCAGCGTGCCCTTTTTTCATGTTGTGAGAAAAAACATATTTACAAGAATGCCATTACTTTTTATGCCACGTAAGCAAAAAGTTTGGGTCCACGTAAGAATGCGGCATAAAACTCAGCCGCAATAGGATACGAACTACGTTACGGCCGAGATATAGGTGCGTAGCGGCTGACTTAACTAACCTAGCTGACTTATGAGAAATAAGCTGAGTTATGAACATAACTCAGTCGATCGTTACGGCTGACTTAAAAAAATCTGGCTGGTTTATGTGATAATGGCTGAGTTACGGTCAGATATTACGACTGACTTATACATCCTTAGGCTGGTTCCTG